GTGATCGCAGTGCTCAGCTGCCTTCTGGGAATCCCGACCAACATCCTCGTGATCGTGAAACTCAGCAGCCACCTGCGAGGCTCCTCCATGACGAAGCGCCTCATCTTCAACCTGGCTCTGTCGGACCTGCTCTCGCTGTTCTGCTTGGTGATCGCCGGGGCCATTTTTGCCACCGGGCCCCATTTGGCGCATGGACTGTGTCAGCTTTTCTTTTTCATCATCTTATTCTGCATCACCTCCAACTCCAACATCCTGCTGCTGATAAGCGTTCAACGTTACTACCAGGTACGCAACTCCAAACTTTACCGTTGTAGGAAAACGAACATATTTAGCAGTACTAACGCGCGCCGTTACTGCAAAACTAAGAAATAATTATTTTCAGTCTGCCGTACTTGGAGAAATATAGGTAACCACACTGCTTGTACTTTTACTTCAGAAGATAAGTAAAATAAATGCACCCTGAATAGTGTGTGTAAGTAGATGGCTAAAGCTATTTTTTCCTTCCCAGATTCTTCATCATACCAAGTGGAAAAAAGTGACCCGAGCATGGCAGCGGGTTTTACTCTGCGGTGTGTGGATACTCGGGGCCCTGCTGCCTCTCCCACTGGTGCTGTCTCTGATGGATAAGAACAGCGAAGACGCCGACAAGACGTCCTGTAGGAACAAAATGATCACACCGCAAGCCGAGGTGGTCCACGTCGCCGTAGCGATATCCGCTCAACTTGTGGTGCTGGTGTTTTACGTAAAGCTTGTGAGAGGCGTCAGGAAGGTTCAGATGTCTGACAGGAAGAAACAAAAGATCAACAGGCTGTTCACTCGGATCCTTGCCGTCTCTCTAATAGACTTTTTGCCTTTGTTTGCTCGACTTGTGGCCGTTGCCGCCCATTTTAGACCTTCAGAGACGTTGACTGAAGTCAGCAGGAATCTGACGTCTATCGAGTATTTGTACTTTTTAAACCACTGCCTGAACCCCCTGCTGTATTTCTTTGCTTCTCGGCATCAGCTAAGAGACAGAGAGAAAAAGAGAAAGCTCTTTCTCATGGCTCTCAATGACAGTTCTTAACAAGATCTTTGGATATCTGTGCTACGCTATTTAACCTTTTGCACATTTTTAATTTATAATGAGGTATTAACACTGTTAAAAAAAATCCCAATGGCATATAGATAATGACTTTTTTGTGAATTTATCTACCATTTTTTTTGGTAAAGACATGTTTTACTATTAAATATGTTTGAAGGCTGGACATGCATTCTGTATTTTCTTTCTTTGCTTATTCCGTGTGTTTCCCAAAAATGTCAAATCCCAGAAATAGTTGAACATTTACTTTAAAGTCCCCTTGCCAGCACCCTAATTGTGAGTTACCTTCGTTTTATTCTCCGTTAGAATCAGATTCTGGCTTTTGTCATTCTGAAAAGTGACTTTCAGTGGAAAAAAAAAAAGTTGGTAAAATTAAATCTTTAAACCTAAATCTACTGATATCCCTTTTTAGCCTATTAACCTAGAGGGAAGAGCTGGAATCAAGTCGCATTGTTTAATATTAGCATTAGAATACAATGCTAAAGCTAATGTTAAAATGTTAGCATACTCTATCAATTTAGAATGCCTTTATTTGCTAATTGCTTTAGTTGAGCTAATGCTAGTTTTCCTTTCTGCTCTAAAATTTCTACAAGGTTTAAGAATGTTTGCTTAAAATTGGCTAATATTTTACTCTGTACACTTTCTACAATTTTAAAAGTCTTTTCTAATGAGATGCTAGAGGAAATCTTGCTGTGAAGACAACAGATTATGCTACAGGTTTCACTTAAAAGAAAAGGAGAAAAAGAAGCAGTTTGGAAAATATTTGTTCCCTCAAAACAAGGAAAGTCGTGTTGTAGAAATCAAGGGTACGCCACCTGTCGCTCATATTTAGGAGACATCTTAAAAATAAAGCCGGCCAACCACAAAAAGAACTGATATTTTTAATTATTAGCATGTTATACATTCCTCTGTAAACACTAGAAACGTTAACATTTTTAATTAAGCGGGTCTCTCACACTGTCAGAATTTGCTGGAGGTTTTTTCCTCGTTTAAAGTCGGTCTATCCTTTCCACTATTGCCACATGCTTGAAGAGCGTAAAAGTCAGTGACTCAATCAGTTTGGCTTCCATAAAATGGAAAAAAATTGTACTAAACTGAATTTGATTGAACTTTGATTGATTTGATCCTGTGTATTCTGAAGAATCAAACGAGTTTGTCTCTGGGTATTTTCACACTTCTTGTGAAAATAACCAGAGAACAAATGAGTTCTGAAGAGATGACAAACTGCCTTGGAAGAATTAAATTAAGGTAAACGAAAATTGTAAGTGAACAGTTTGTGTGTCACAAAGACGCAATTTGTTATGCAGCTTAGTCTGACATCGAGTGAATGAATTCGACATTAAAAGAAACACCTTTTTGATAGTACGGAGGACGTTTGCAAATAGAAATCCTTGAAAGAAGCTAACTTCACAACTGTTCCGAGTACCGCTGGTGATCTGCTTTCACCCCCAACCCCTTAAAAATGCGTATTTATACACAAACCTGTCATGAGACGAGACACAAAGGTTTCAGTGAGCTGCAGGAAACCGTGGTCAATGTACTGTAGAAAGGTTTGATGAGGTAGGCAACGAACAGCAAACACAGCAAACAGGGTGTGATAGCCTGGAGAAACAAACCGATGAAATGAGAAAACAATGAAAGGAGGGGGGGAGACTGAAATATTCTGAGTAAAGCCAACATCGTGGAACGCATTTCATGCAATGCATTGCAGGGCCAACATTTGTGAAACGTCTCCTTCCGAGACCTCACTTTAAAATTAAAGTTTTACTCCTGAGTGACAAAAAAAAAATTAAAAAAAATGAAAGAATTATGTAGCAAACAACTGCAAACACTGTGATATTAATTCAAATGAGTGAAAATGCATTCCCGTCCTCCCGGAGCTTCGTCAGCGTTCTGCGAATGCACAATTCTGTCGCGCCTCACTGGGGGGGACACGTGTTTGTATTGTACCAGGTGGGAGAGGCAGGCAGAGGCTCTGGGTGGACTCCAGGATCCGAAGCATGAAG